AAGCCGTGACTCGAGAAGACGAGGAAGTCCACGGGCTTTGACAGTCTCCTATTTAGATCAGACATTACTGCCACGCTTGCATGTTCTCTGCTCACCCCTACCTCCATCAAGAGACTTTTTTTTCCTTAAAAATAGGCCTTGCAAAGCTAAAGATAGACAAGGAATGAGCATGGGGACATCTCTTCACCCTTACCACAGAACTGCTCCCCTCTTAGCTCCCTCTCACCCAAAGCCGCCGGGCTGGAGATGCCCTCTCTTCCCAGGGTGCTGCCTACAAGCCAGAGCTCGGGGGCTCACCGGCGATCTCTGGTCTCAGTGTCTGCCCCGTGACGGCACCGAAGAGTCACAACCGTCTTTGGAAAGAGGGAGGGATGATTATTCTGTTCACTATAAGGCTATTTTACAACCGTGCACCGTCTCTATTGGATTTGCTCTCTTACCGGAGTGAAACCTCGTGCTTTGGGAGCGCTGGAGAACCCACAGACTGAGCGCCCTCTCCCAGGGCTCCCGTGGAGCCGGGGATGCAATCGCCGTCTGCAGTTCTCCCAGGCTGCTCGGCCAAGACCTCTCGGTCCCCGCTCTGCCGGGGAGCGGGCGGCTCAGCCTACCGGCTCCTCCAGCCCCTGGCCAAGCAGCGCATCAGGCGGTGCCCGCCGTGCCGTGGCACCCGGCACCGAGCTCTGCCTGGAGACCCTCACCTACTTTCACACGGGCAATCCAAGAATCATCCGAAGATGAGGACTTTGGGTCACTGCCTGCCTGGGCTGGCTCCAGATACAGCCAAGAGATGGGACGCCTGCACGCCATGACTCCTGAGCCATCCCATCCCTCTCTCATTCCTCTCTCCTACCACTGGCAAACATGGGCTGTTCCCTATTCCACCTCACACACAGAAATTATCACTTACTTCCCATTATTCTGAAACTGATATTTGGCTCAGAGCAAACGCCAAGAGGAGTAAAAGCCCCGGATAAGAAATCCGTATCTCCGTGACACTGCTGGTTGAATTTATTAATATCTTAATGTTCTTTTTTTACATCAGTTTAAGAAATATTTTTTTTAAAAAAGGACAAAACCCTCCAAAGAAGCTGTTTGATTGACTGATCAGTTCCCTATTTCATGTGAACTAGTTGCTATTCTGCTTAGGGGTCCCTATGATCTGTGAATCCCCACAAGTACGGACGATTAAGGATGCAGAGATAGAGAAGCATGTAGCTGGGGGACAAACACCAGGGGAAGGGGGATGGAGAACCGAATGTTGCATCTAGACAAACAAAATAAAATGTGTCAGTCGGTCGATTGGTTGGTTTGTTAACAGGAATCAGGTGCTAGATGTGTAGAAAAGCCCTTTATCCAGAGATCTCCTCCCGCTGTTCCTTGTTCCTGCGAACTTCAGCTGCATGCAGTTCCTGCAAAGACGGGAGAGACGACAGCAGGCTAACACTTTCTGCTCTTGCAATCTCTATTTTCCTTCTCTCCTGCACACAGGATTTGCACCAGACAAAAAAGAAAAAAGAGACCAGTTTCCCATCCGACACAGCCTGAGGACAGGGGGTTACGCCCGCAAGGAGCGAAGCCGCTCATCCGCGGGAGCCTGGAGGTGATGCAAACCTACAGCCAGCGCGTTCCTGGCTCCCCTCGTCTGCAAAGCCCTTCGGCCACGCAGCCCCTGGCCATGGAGCGGGCCCGATCCTGTGCTTTTGAGCTTGCGCTTCTCAAGATCAGCCAGACTTTTCTCTACTGACCTTGAAGGACACATCCCCCCTCCTCGTGCTGCTTCGGAGCGGAGCTGCTCCACAGCCCGCTTCCCACCAGCAACGAAACGCCCGCTCCCCCGTGCCCCTTGCTCTGGGGTGACCCCGCAGGGACCAGACCCCAAACCGCCCACGAGCATCGGCACCCAGCCCTCTCCCCGGGATCGCACTCGCCTTCTCGCGGAGCCGCTCCCTCAAGGCGGCGAGATGTGCTTCGCGGATCTCCCTGCTCAGCTCCATCTTGTAGTTGAGCTTCTCCTCGGCCAGGCGGCTGAAGTTGTTGTTCTCCTCCAGCGCCTTGTGCAGCACCTCCCGCTCGTGTTCCCGCTTCTCCGCCAGCTGCTTCAGCACCTGCGCCTCCTGGGTCTGCCGAGGCAAGGCGTCGCGAGAGGTGTAAGGCAACCGAAGAGGCTCTTCCAGCCTTCAGCTCCCCAGAGAGGCTTTCTGACCATCTCCTCTGCTCAAAACCCCTCTGCCACCGCCCTCCACCCCATAACGCTCTTGCTTGGAAGACGCTTTGACACCTTTTTTCTTGCTACGGGGCAATGTCTGCTGGGTCCGGTGCTCCAGGCGGGCAGGCGATGCAGCCCTGCGCCCGCTGGCTCAGCAAAGCTGAGGTGACATCTGTGCGGATGCAGAGTCCCCTCTCCAAGTGTCACCTCACTCTTTGAATTATTTCAGCTTGCTTTCCTCTTACCCACCAACATTTGTAACGTTCACGCTTTGTTTTACTCGGCCGGTTTTCTCCTTTTCAATAGTTTTCACCAGAATACATTTTATACAGCACTTAGAATAAAATGTGGCACAGCCAGCTGTGGGAAACGCAAGGCTGTGCTTAGGTTTGGAGTTTAAGCTGGGTGTGTGACCAACTGCTACATCTCCTGCAGCATTAGCTGGTGAGAACTGCTGCCCCAGCCAGGTCACACGCAGAGGACCGAGGGGACCCCACACTGTGTGCTTTTAAGAACAGGAGGATGATGATGCTCATCGAGTCCAATTCCCTGCCTAAACCAGGCTGCAGAACCTCGCTCCGCGACTCCCATGCCCCACCTGACAATTTATAGCGGAATATAGTAAGAAGTGCAAAAACACTATTTCCAACCATTTTAGATTGCTCCTGCTAAGCCAGTTTTAGAATCATAGAATCACAGAATTGTTCAGGTTGGAAAAGACCTTTCAGATCATGCAGTCCAACCATTAACCTAACACTACCAAGTCCACCAATAAACCAATTAAGGGGAGAGTAATAATTTCATGTTTCCTGCCTTGGTGGCTGGATTATTTTTTAATGAAAGTACAAACTAGGAATCATTAAGGTTGGAAAGGATCTCCAAGATCATCAGCCCAACCATCAACCCAACACCCCCATGCCCACTAAACCATGTCCCCAAGTGCCACCTCTGCCCGTTTTTTGAACACTTCCAGGGACGGGGACTCCCCCACCTCTCTGGGCAGCCTGTTCCAATGACTGACCACCCTTTCCGTGAAGAAATTTTTTCTAATCTTTCCGTGAAGAAATTTCTCCCAATATCCAATCTAAACCTCCCCTGGCGCAGCTTGAGCCCATTTCCTCTCATCCTATCACTGGTTACTTGGGAGAAGAGCCCGACCCCCCTCCCTGCCCCCTCCTGCCAGGAGCTGCAGAGCGATGAGGTCTCCCCTCAGCCTCCTCTTCTCCAGGCTGAACACCCCCAGCTCCCCCAGCCGCTCCGCATCAGACTTGTGTTTTAGGGTTTGGTGCAATTAGTAGCCGTCACAGAAAAGTCACTGCCTGTACAGGACATCTCGTTACCTTCCTCCTCTCTTCTGCAGCCTCCAGCCTCCTCTGCAGCTCCTCCAGGGACAGGTCCTTCTTCTTGGGGGGGGAGGAAAGGATGGGGCTCTCGGGAGATAAATCTGAAGGGGACTTCAGGATCACTTCGAAGCTCTGGCCTGATGCCCTCTTATCCAGCTGCTTCACCTCCATATCTTTGGGGAGCAAAAAAAACCAGAGGCTCTGTGGACCTGTGGCACTCAGGAGAGCATTCACCTGAGGGCACCAAGCTCTTCACATAGGAATTAGGGTGTTCCCATGTCCTGACCTGGGTGATTTTGTTCTGTCTCCAAAATTTCCCCATTAGCGATTGGCTTCACCCCCCCTCCACATCAATGCAATGAATTTAAATTCACAGCATAATTACAGGCAGGCATATTGCTGTTAACACCTTGCCTGCCACCCCAGCACAGAGCAGACGGCCTCTGCCAGCAGTTTCTTTCTGGGAAAATACAGGGTTACGTTAATAAAATAAACCGCGAAAGGAAACTAAACAGAAAGACCCCAGGCTGAGACACGGATTGCTGCTCCGGGATGGGACAACCCAACGCGCTGAGCCGCTCCCGCGCTGGCCTGCAGCTCCCGCGGGAGCTGGTTACGTACCTCCATACTGGTAGATGGTATTAGGATGGGGCTGGGTGTGGAAACAGGAGCAGATGAGGGAGAGCAGAGACAGCTCCTTCATTTTCTCCTTGTAGGCTGAAAAATACGAAATAGCAATGAGAAGAGAGTCTAATGGCAATAGCAGGTCTTTTTCATGGAGAAAGGAAGCAAGTAGACACAAGGAAACCCATTTGCAGCTACCAGACCCTACGGAGGCTTTTCCAGGCTGCCATAGCTTGCCAAAAGGTCCCCAAGGAGCATCTGTTCTGGAGCAGCCTAAATTAGCTGGCAGTGTAGCAACTGTCATGGGAAGACACACAGTAAGAATTTACCACATCTGGAGGCAGAATCTTCTGTGCAGGATTTTCCCTCCAAAGGAGCCGAAACGCTGCAGCCCGTGCAGTTAACCATGTCGGGACAGCTGCCCAGACCCTTTCTCCATTCCACTTCCAGACTCAGAGGCAAAATGATGCCCATCAACACCTGGAAACATTGCTCAACCCCTGGCAAGCTCCTGCTGCTTCACAATTCAGCATTTCTGACCTCAGGGTGAAGAGGCAAGATGCAGCCAGCTATGTGGAGGACAAAAGGGCATTGGAGTGAAGAAACAGTTCGGGGGTGCTGCTAAGTGCCGTAACCCGACTTCCCGAGGTACCTCCTTCCCTGCGGAAGCAGATAAGGGAGGACGTACGTGGATTCTGTCACTGCCTCAGCCCACGCAGGCAGAGGTTGATACTGGTCTGCAGTCACAGTAAATGCTGTCCCCTGCAAAGGACAGGGAAATACACCATCCCCTCGAGCTCCGCTGCCGCGAGCCCTCCAGTTTGCCCAGCATTCCCGTGCCTGGAGGACACACCGCAGCAGCCTCGGTGCTCACAAGTGCACCGGGCGCTGCCCTCATGGCAGCAGCACCCACAGCTTGCAGTGGGTCTTTCTGGGGCAATCTTCACCCGTATTTTTGGAGTTTAGCACATTTCAGACAGCAAACTGTTAGCACACACTTGACAAAGAAGCTCAGAATAGAAGGACTTGAAGACAGAGAGGTGTTCTGTCAGGCTGTCAGGTTCTCTATCACGTCAGTGTAACCCTCACAGCATCACTGCTACGTCGCAGGTCAGCAGCTGACGGCTCCGCGGTGGGTGCTGCTGTCTCATGGATGCTGCGAGGCTCTGCCCTGGCCTGGCTGCTCAGGGGACACCCAGGCACAGAGGGACAGGGTCTTCATGGCTGCGTGTCCTGCCAAACCTGCCCTGAGCCTCCTCGTGCCATCCTTCCTCCTGCCTCCACCACAGGGCACAGGCATTCTGGTGTCCAGCCTTGCTCTGCCTCGGGATTTCCCACATGTCCTCGGGCTTCTTGGTTTGTCCCTTCCTTACTGAGCTCCTGGTTCGACCTCCAGCCGGAGGTGAATCTGCAACCTGGCTGCCAGTGCCACCTTCACAGCAAGACGCTCCACTGGGCCAGGAAAGGGAAATCCCCAAAACTTTGTGATACAAAAAGGCATTAACAGCAGAACAATTTGGAAAAAAAAAAAAAAAAAAATCAACCTGTGTACCATACGCCCTCAGGAACACCTTTCAGATCGTCTCCTCTGCCTTCCTGCAGCTACTCAGGTGGGAAAACAGTGGTTTCATACGCCTGCTTCATACTTGCACTTATTTTGCCTCCTAGGTACAGAACTTGGTCCTAATTAACTCCCCCCTTTTGCTGACCGACAGTCCCTGGAGCTCAGATCTTTATTGAACATTTTCCAGTTTGCTCCATGTTCTGATTTTGAGACCCTGCCCCGTCCTGCTGTTAAATGTAAGCCAGGTAGGAACAGCTGACATCAGCAGTCCCAGCCACAGCGCAGGACATCTTTGGTTTTGTTCTTCATGAAAAAAGACTTTGGAAAGCCTCTGGGAAGCCTCTGAGAGTGCCGTATCGCGCCAGCAGTCGCGGCATACAGCAGTAAGCTAACGCATCTCATAATGAGCTGTCCGGAGCCCAGAGGAGGGTCCCCTGGACCAAATGAGAGACATTACCATTTAACGAACCACGCATCGAGGTCATTGCTCTACCATTATGTCTGGTCCCGGGTGAAACCAAGACATTAAGCACATGTGCCACATCCCTGACCCACTCGTTTAATCGTCTCCTAGCGCTTGGCACAGAGCACAGTGCTCTGTATTTCATTACTTCCACACCGGTGGGTCTCCCCAGTACCGGTTTCACCGTGCTCTGTAGATGCGCATGCTGCAGTCCCTGCCTTTCAGGAGGTCTGTCCTAGGGATTTCGCAGCTGCCTCCATCCCATCGGGATCTTCCCTGTCCCGCTTTCCCTTCTGCAGAGCAAACCGACCGTCCCCCTCCGTCAATTAAAATGAAAAGGAGCGAGAGGACAAAAGGACACCGCTCTGCTGAGCTGTGGCAGCGCTTTAATGAGCTGTGGCAATGTTTCGCGTCCTTCTCCCGGCGCCGCGGCCTGCAGCTGCACCCCGGCGCCAGCCACCCGATGCAATTAGCAGC